GAACAGCAATGGTAAAACCAAAGGGTACCTTTGGTGCATGTTCTAAATACTGCTTCCCTGCAGACATTTGTGTCAAGAGACGAAATTTATTGTCTTGAAGGACATAAATACCCTGTTTAAAGAAAAAAGAAAAGGATTTTTTCGTTAAAAATGCAGTAACAAAATCAACATTTTACATGAAGGGGTTTGATTTGTAGATACAATATAAATGTTCTCAGTTGTGAAAAAGGAATTTCAGATTCAGGCATATGTGATTTAAGTATTACTTTAAAAAAAAGTATTACTTAAATGAAATACCAAAACAAAAAATATACTCAATTTTGAATTTACAACAAAACCCCTAGATAATAATATGATCAGTTAACCCTAAAAAACCTGATTTCTTTGCTAATGACTGTGCTACTTTGGACCTTCATAACCCGTGAAATCCAATTACAGCTGCATTTACAATTGTGACTTAAGTTCAATACTGCAGCTTTCTCTGAATTCAAAACCAGATTCCTAAGGTAATTATTATCTGTTAAAGTTATTATTTGATAAACAGCTCACTGAAAAATAAAACTTCTTTTACATGGCACAATCCTGCACCAATTCTCTTGTTTCTACTTCAATACAATAGGAAAACAGCCATAAGAAAACCAAGTCATTAAAAAGGAAACAGATATTTTTACTCAAATGAAATGAGTCCTTAAATTATTTTGATCTGCCTTTAGGAACTGTGGCTGTTGATATAGGCAAGGACACTGATACAACATAATCTCACCAAGATGCAGAAACAGAAAGTTTTTCAGCTTTTTCTTACACACACAAGTATTTTCAGTAGAGTTCAACTAATTGTCTCAACGGAGAAAACCGTTCGCTGAAAACTGTGCATTTCAAGGCAGCCTTTCTACTTCAATAGATGTTAATACAGCAATACCACTTTGTCACACTAGTTTTATACTAAAATTTTCTGAGAAATACATAAAAAAGTTCCTCTTTAAGTATCAATCAAAACTGTTACTGTCCTGTCAGTTTGTAGCTCTGCAATGGTGCATATGAAACTCAAAAGCATTTAGTCTTTTCAAACAGGGTGGCAATAAAGACATCACAAATAATTATTAAACTGTATTCTGAGGCTACGTACTAACCTTAAAAGCTTGCTTTTTAAATAAAACAAAGAATACCTTGGGTTTCTTATCAAGTAATTAATCCTAGACCAAAAAAAAAAAAGGGCACTAGTAACTTAAAACTATTACTGATTTTGCAAGTTAAATCTTATTCTACAACATTAGTACCTGATGATTAGTCCTTAGGTTATCTATTTGTTTTTTGAATACAGTTGTCCAAAAATCTTTGCAAATGAACTTCATAATATCTAATTCATCCTTGAACCTGGCAGTATCTTTTGTAAACCTAGAGATAAGTGAGAAATGTATGAGTAATGAGAGTACACACAACTTGACCAATTCAACAGAAAAAGAAAATACAAAGAAAAAAATGTTACAATGCAACAATGCAACACTACTTTTAAGCTGTTATAGAAATCGGTTTTCCAACCATTGTACAGTATCATTCTAGCACCACTCTGTGTCCATCAAATATTTTAACTTAACACAGTGTTATCCTAATACCTGCAACATGACAACAGCTTTAATTAAATAATTAATAAAGACAGCAGGAGTACAGAAAGATTCAAAGCTCTCCAGTGTTATCTTCAACTAAACATGTACACAGAAGATAAACAAAAAGCTCACACCCATACTACTGCTTGGAAGGAGTCCTTTAAATACACAAAAAAAAAAGCACTAACACATAGGGACAGACATGTAAAACTTGTTTTGGTTTCCCAAAAAGGGGCCTCCTTCTCTTGTTTATTTCAGAATTTTCTCCCTCCATTATTTGGCACTGAAGCACCACCTGGTTGAACACAAGCGGGACTTCAGAAGCTGGGTGTGCAGCAAGTCCCTGTGTATCCCCAAAGGCCCGGGGGAAGAAGGCAACATGCTCGGTTGCGAAGCTCCAGGGACCTAAGTGTGCTTTAGAAAAATGAAATCCAGCAATACCCGGTCATAAAAATATGTTTTAGAGAGAAATCAGGAAGAGGAAAAAACCCATAAAATGTACCAGAGGCAGGAAACACGCAAAAGCAGGTATACAAAAAGTGCAGCTTAAAAGGATTGTAAGTATTAAAAGTAACTATACACCCTGACTCAATTTTCACGATATTGAGAACTGGGAACACACGTACACCGAGACTGCCCGGTGGTTCTCCAACACACGTCCCGGCGAGAAGCAGACACCGAGCGCGGCGCTGCCAGAGGGTCTAACAAGACGAACGCATCCGCAGCGGAACCCTCTGCCCACCCCTTC